ATTGGATGTCAAAAGCACAAGGGGAGTGTTTGTTGGATATGCAACCTGTGAGAAGGGTTATAGAGTGTTTGATCCTGTAACTAGAAAACTACTACTGTCAAGAGATGTTGTATTTGATGAAGGAGCAACTTGGAATTGGAAGGAAGCGACTGAAAATTCTGTGGTTATGGTGAATCATGAAGAGCAGCCTAGGAATTCTCAAGTGAAATCATTTGAAACATATGAAGGAAACTGAAATTCTGGTTTCATACCTAGAGATTCAGTCTCCTATGAAGAATCAAGCAAGGAAAGCAGCAGATTGGAAGACACTCAGAACTTCGATCATACTCCATTGAAATGGAGGAAGTTGGATGATATTTTAGCACAATGCAATCTGTGCACAATGGAGCTTGAGAAGTTTGAAGAAGCTGTGAAGGATGAGTCATGGATGAAGGCAGTGAAAGATGAGTTGAACATGATAGAAAAGAATGATACATGGGAGCTTGTTGACAGACCTATGGATAAACCAGTTATTGGAGTTAAATGGGTGTTTAAAACTAAGCTAAATCTGGACGGTTCAGTGCAGAAGAATAAGGCAAGACTGGTGGCTAAAGGATACTCACTAAAATCAGGGGCAGACTACAATGAAACATTTGCATCAGTGGCTAGATTAGACACAATCCGGACTCTAATTGCACTAGCAGCTCAGAAGGGTTGGCAACTGTATTAATTAGATGTTAAGTCAGCCTTCCTAAATGGCATCTTAGAGGAAGAAGTGTATGTAGATCAGCCGGAGGGATTTGTGGTGAAGGGGAGTGAAAACAAGGTTTACAAGCTGCACAAAGCTTTATATGGCTTGAAACAGGCGCCAAGAGCTTGGTATAGTGAAATTTATGGTTATTTTGCTGAGTGTGGTTTCACAAAAAGCCAAAGTGAGGCTACTCTTTATATCAAAACAAGAGGTGAAGCAAGCATCTTGATAGTATATATTTATGTAGATGATATAGTCTACACTGGAAATGATCAAGAAATGTTAGAAGACTTCAAGAAGGACATGAAGGAGAAATATGAAATGACTGATCTGGGGCTTTTGCATCACTTCTTGGGAATAAGAGTAATTCAAACACCAACAAGCATATTCATTCATCAGAAGAAATATGCAACAACTCTGTTAAGCAGATTTGGCTTGAGTGAGTGTAAGCAGGTATATATTCCACAAGTCACCTCAGAGAAACTAAGTAAGGATGATGGGAGTGGCTTGGCAAGTGAAGAGCAATACAGAAGGATTGTTGGAAGTCTGTTGTATCTCATAGCTACTAGACTCGACATTATGTTTGCAGCTAGTTTGCTTGCAAGGTTCATGCATTGTTTCATTAGAAAACATCTTGGAACAGCAAAACGTGTTCTTAGATATGTAAAAGGAACTCTGGATTATGGTCTGGAGTATGTGAAAGGAAAAGAGGCAGTCCTAATTGGCTATTGTGACAGTGATTGGAGTGGTTCAATGGATGATAGTAAGAGCACTTCTGGATATGCTTTTTCTTTTGGTAGTGGAGTGTTTGCTTGGTCCTCAGTCAAGCAAAATTGTGTTGCACTCTCTATTGCAGAAGCGAAATACATCAGTGCCTCTGAAGCAACAACACAAGCTATTTGGTTGAGATTTATCCTAGAAGACTTTGGAGAACTTCAAACAGAAGCTACACCTCTACACCGTGACAACATTTCAGCTATTGCCATTACAAGGAATCTTGTGTTTCATCAGAAAACCAAGCATATCGATCGGAGGTATCATTTTATTAAAGATGCTTTGCAAGAAGGAACTATGGATCTGATTTATTGTCCCACAAATGAGTAGTTAGCAGATATCTTTACAAAGGCCTTGGCTAAGGATCGTTTCTGCTATCTCAGAGAGAAACTTGGTCTGAAATCAGCTCACAACTTAAAGGGGAGTGTTGAAATGTAAGTGGTGAGCTGATAAGAATGTAATTAGGCCTCTAAGCTAAATGGTGTATTCACTTAGTCACTAAGTTAGACAAGTGTTAGGCTTTAGTCATGTAAAGTGGTGATAGCCAGGTGTAATGATCCTAGAGAGCAGTTTTGGATGTAAGGCTGTGATTCTCTGTGATGTAAGAGAATCCAGCTATTCTCTTTAATGGTCATATAGCTCACACTGAGCTTGCTCGATGATTGTCAGAGCATGCAATAGAAAATACACACTCGATTTGATTCATTCTAAGCTCTCTCCTCTCTCTGCGTTTTTTCCTTCTCTTTCAATCTATTCAAAACTCTAACAGAGCAAACAATATAGAATAATTGATTTTGTTTTTGTTTTTCTGGAAGATGATGATTAGGGAGATGAGCTTCCAATTAAGTTAATTACTATTTATGATGATAGCATTGTCCCCTTAAAATGAGAGGGATTACCTTATATAGCCATGCTCTTTTTTGTTCTCATGAGTTAGGTATAATGTTCTATTTGCCATCATCTATTAGCAAATTTCACTGTATTTTGCTGATTTCTTTTTTGTCTTTTTCTTTTAAGGGTAATAAAATCTAGATATTGTTAGGATTAATCTGTCTTTCTGGGGCACTCTATTTTTCTATTAATACAGTATAACAATTCTCGTATGTGTATTGGAATTTGGATAGTATATATATGTTAAGGAATAATATTTTGAGACTAGTTTCTTGTTCCTAACCTAATAAACCAATGCCGAATGCCGATGCTTCCTTCATTCTTCCCATAAAATCCCAAACAAACCAAAACAGAAAACAAAAATAAAGAAGTGGCCGGTAAAGAGTAGAAAAGCAAAACTCATGTCCTAAAGCCATTGTTTGTGGGCCTTTTGCAACTTTTTGGATTTTGGATCGGGACCAACTCAATTGAACGTGCGGCCCAAATGTACAACGGTATTCAATTAGGATTTTTAAGTAATTAATAAAAGTCTGATGACATTTAATTATGATTTTTAAATAATCAATACAAGTCCGGTGATATTCAATTAAGATTTTTAAAAGATAAGAAAATGTACTGTGGTATCCAAAAACTTACCAATTATGGTGTATTGTGTGAGACTTTTGAGGCTGTGATATACATATCATATCACACCCTCCTATGCATGATTCTCATATATATTCTCAATTTTTTTTTTATCTCCACTATTTTTTTCATGCTTTTTACTGTAAAAAAAAAAAAAAATCATAAGAGAGACGATAAAGGGCCCACATCACAGCACACTCCCCATTTTTCCTTTCCTCCTTTCTCTCTCTCTCAGTGTACAGTAAACAACCACCATTTTTTTCCCCAGAAAAACAACCACCACTTTTCTTAAGACGGCAGAGTGATTATTATTGGTATTGTTAGGGGTAAACAACACCATCCCTTGAAACAACGAATCCATCTCATCTTTCTCCATATGATTTGGCTACCCCTAAATCCAAAACTAAAATCTTCCAAATCCAATGAACCACCAAAATATGAATCAATCAAAATCTGACAAAAGAAAATACGGAATTGCTTGCTCTTAGTCCCAATGTCAAAACTCAAAGCTTGCCTCTTTGATTTTTGATTGGTGTGGCTGATTGGTTACTAGTACTAGTGCGCTGCAAAAGAAAAGATTTTGAGAAGGATGAGGCAAGCACCTTTTAAGAGTGGTGGTGAGCATACACCTTTGGTTAATGTGGTGAGCAAAAATGCTCCCATAGAAATATAAAGTAAAATCCTATAATTGTAATCTATTAAAATCATAAGTAAAATCATGTAATTGCAATGTATTAAAATCATAAGTAAAATCATGTAATTGCAATGTATTAAAATCATAAGTAAAATCATGTAATTGCAATGTATTAAAATCATAAGTAAAATCATGTAATTGCAATGTATTAAAATCATAAGTAAAATCATGTAATTGCAATGTATTAAAATCATAAGTAAAATCATGTAATTGCAATGTATTAAAATCATAAGTAAAATCATATAATTACAAATCCAATTGTAATCCATTACATTAAAATTTGTTAAAATCTCAATTGAATACACCCTCTTAAAGTTTGTAGTATAAGGGCTAAAACCGCTTCTTCACAATGAAAAATGCTTATAAAATTGTTTGGCAAAAAATCTTATGAATCGTGAAAAGAAATTTTAAAAGCACTTTCAAGCGCTTTTCTAAAAAGCACGTGAATATCTAATAAAAATATAAATGTACTTATAATAAAAGCGCTTCTAACTAAACAATATCAAACGGTCTCTTAATTCATGAAGGAAAAAAGTCAACCTTCATCACTTAACTTGCCAGACTGCAAAAACATAAAAACATGATAAGACATGCATAAGAAACTTCTTTTTCTTTAACAAAAAATTCCACTGTTTTGCTTTCAAAGATTGGAAGTCAAATTGGAGGTTGGCACGTCCCCTCTCGGTGTTAAAGTTGTCCATCAAAGCATAGCATCCGAATTAATGAAAGACTTTACCACTTCGTTTCATGTGTCAACCCCAATGTTCATCATGAGTCACAGTTTTAGGCTAAGCTATACCAACCCTAAGAACTCTCATTGTATTTCTGACATTTTATGCTAAAGTATGAATTGCAGTTGAGCTTTATCCTCAATCATTCATGATTGGGGTTGTGTGTAAAATTTGATTACTTTCAGAATGATTGTTTTGGTTGCGTTGGAGCCACGCTACTTGTTTATGAAAATAGACAACAGAAGTTCTGCATAATTAATTAAAGCCTTTAATTTATAAAGTTCTAATTTGCTCTTACATTAATAATTGATCTTCTAAGAGGATGCCAGCACAATTAGGGATTAAATAAATATAATCTCACCTAACAGAGTAAGCGTCCCTTGAGCTGCAATTCAACTGGTGTCACACACTGATCTTATATTATAAAACTTTTATCTGAATTATTGAGTAAATAAATTCTTATTTGTTGCTTTGAAAAAAATTTAATTAGTAAATTGATTATATGAATATAAGATGCCAGGTTGCCCAGAAGTGAACAGCTGCAGGGTCTAAAATCTAAAAGGAATTTGCATGGCCCTACAGCTTCATGATAAGCACGTTCAGAAATAGCACCCCACAAGGGAAAAATAAAAGAAACAAAGAGCTAGCATGATTACACGGCAAAAATAAAGAAAAAGAATAAAGCAAAGCAGAAAATCCATGGCCCCCAGACCAACATCTAGAAATTTGTTCAGCTTCAGCCACAGCCACAGGCAAGCCAACCCTAGTCTCTCTCTCTCTCTCTCTCTCTCTCTCTCTGTCTCTGTCTCTCTGCCTCGCCTTCTTCTGCCCTGCTCTTTATAACATTTATTGCTTAGGTGTCTCAAAACTCAGCTGAGTTTAATCTCATATCAGACGAAAAAATGGGGAAAATAGGCACCAAGTTGCCAGGTTTCTGCCTAAACAGAATTAGGCCACATGTTAGAGTTCGTTCTCCAACTATACAGTCCAAGGCAGATGCTGCCTCAGATGTCACCAAAAACAATGCTGATAAAAAAGCTGAGAATTCTGGCAATGTTGGGGAAGAAAAAGCTGGTGGTAATGGAGCTATAGCTAGGAAAATCATGATTGTAGTTGATTCTAGCCTTGAAGCTAAAGGAGCTCTGCAATGGGCTCTCTCTCACACTGTTCAGAGCCAGGACAAACTTGTCCTGCTTCATGTAACCAAACCTTCAAGTTCAAAACAAGGTTTGGAGATTTTTTATTTTTGGTTTTTGTTCCTACAATTTGATTTTCTGAAGTTGAGGAAACAGAGTATTTTAATGGATTATTCACTTGTTACAGCAGCTGGTGAGGAGCCCAGCAAGGATGTAGCTCCAAGGGCTTATCAACTTGTTCACTCTTTGAGGAACATGTGTCAGTTGAAGAGACCAGAGGTGGGTATTTTACAGTTTGATCACATCATTAATTGGCCATTCCAAACTTAATCACTATTAGCAAAGCTTTAATTAACTAGAGGCTAATAGAAATTTCTTCTGGGCAATTGCATGTGTGTTTGTTGCATCACAGAATTAGAACAGAGGAAAATACCAACTTACTTCTTTTAGTGTTTCTGTAGACAGAGGTTCATGTTTATACTTCCCTTCTTACCCTAGTTGGCATATAGCATTTTTTTATCATGTGGTAGCACAGTGGAGAAAATTCCCAGTTTAGTCTTGTGTATTGATGAGATGCTTCAGAAATAGAAAAAAGAGCAGCTAATTAGTAAGATCATGCCCCACAGCCCACAGTAAGACATGACCAAGCTTTTAAATTCAGAAATAGCCCTTCAATTTAAGGGTCAAGCTCCTAAAATCAGGGGTATAAATATCATTATCAATAAATCATACTCCTAATATCACAGGTACAAATTGAGGTTGCAGTGGTGGTCGAAGGTAACAAGGAGAAAGGTCCAACTATACTGGAAGAGGCCAGAAAACAAGAGGTGGCACTGCTTGTTCTGGGGCAGAAAAAGAGGTCTACGACATGGCGTTTGCTGATGATGTGGGCAGGCAACCGGGTGGGCGGCGGTGGCGGCGGCAGCGTTGTGGAGTACTGTATACAAAACGCCAGTTGCATGGCAGTTGCTGTGAGGAGGAAAAGCAAGAAAGTTGGAGGCTATTTGATTACCACAAAGCGCCAGAAAGATTTCTGGCTCTTGGCTTAATTAACTAAAATGTGTTATATATATGATAGTCTAGTCTTACTACATGAAAAAATTATGATTGGTTTTCTTGGCATCTGTTTGTAAATTAAAGGTGGTTATGAATGAAAAAGTGTTGCTGTGATCATTATTTAGGCCATTGGCCTATTATGTGTTTGGAGAGACAATGGGGTCCCTTGGCTCCTTTATCTCCAGGTCTTGCTACACTGTTACTTCAGTATGTGAAGGCCTAGCCTAGGAAAAAAACTTACCCATAATGGGGATAGTACTGTTTTGCTATCTCTAGCCAATAACACAATGACACGTGAAAAAGTTATCCTATCTCACATCACATTATGCCAAATTACCAGAGCCTCTTTGGGACAGATTCCCTTGGTTAGGACATGGTGGGGGACATGTTAGCCTACCTGACCCTGTCCTTGTTGTCACATTTGAGCAAAGTGGTAAGTTTGGTTGCTAATAATGGAAATCGAAGTGTTGTTGAGGTAACTACTTATATGAGATGGAAATCAAATTCTTTTAATCAGATTTGAAAATCTTGGAAGGCTTTTCACCCCAGCTAAAGCCACAAAAGACTTACTGTTATAGAGAGCGCGAGGGGTTTGTAGCCCAAGGTTAAGAGTTACCCTAGCATATGAGGTCTTGTTTTCGAATCCCCCTCTTCTAATATCACTTGTATATAAAATAAAAAAACATAATATATAGCTGGGTTCATGAATGACTCATTATTATAGTATGTGCAAACTGGAAAAGATCATGTTTGGAAGGACAGAAAGCATTGTTGCCCTTCTGCTAAAGTCTGAATGTGGCGGCCATGCTTGGAATCGGAAGGAAACAACACAATGTAGCTAGGCCCCTGTTTTCTGATTTAAATAAAAGCACTCATTTTCAATCCCAGGCCTGAAATCCATGCTGCAGCCTGCAGGTCAGTTCTATCTATGTCTTGGGGCCTTCATCTGCTGCGCCTTCCCAAAGCTTTGTCAGATGGAAAGATAGAATTTCTATCTTTGCATCTGCATATCCAAAAGATGAACACAACCTAATGATTCTAATTGTCCTATAAAACAAAAGAGAAACATAGTGACACTTATGTTTAAAGCAAATTAAAAATCCTTTATGTTTAGTTTTTTAAATTATTTATAACCTTTATTATTAGTATTAGTCCTCCAAAAAACTCCATACATCAAAAGATATATGTTTGGTTGTAAGATCATGTAATGCATGACTAAATCATTAAAATTGGGAGATTTGAATGTGAAATCACTTTACCTTCTAACGTTGAAAAGAGAAATACCACTAGATTAAAAGTTAGTTGATGCACGGCTTACAGCTTATTAAATAGTGAATAAAATATGGTTTTACACCAAAAGAGTAAGTTGGTTATGGTTGAACTGGTTTAACTAATAGTGAAACAAGTTGTTTTTCTAATATGAAATATTGAGATCTAATCTTTGGTTCACCAAAGTCTTAGCATAGCTTGTTTTCAGCTCTATGGATCTGTCTCATGGTTAAATAAAAAAAAGATTACTGCTTTTTTTCCCACCAACACCAAGTTACTGTAGTGGTAATTTGCTAACTACGGTAAGTTGAATGTTTTTTTTTTTTACTTTGAAAGAAAGCTTAACAAAAGCCTGTATTAGTGAGCTTGGTTGGGGCTCAAACGAGTCAAGCCATACCCGACTGGAATCCGACCCGCCCGTCTCCAACCAACGAGCTCAACTTCCCGCAAAACCCTAAACCCTTCCTTCTCCGAATCCATTGATAGACATAGACCCTTCAGCACCAGCTTATATCTGCCCCCAGTCCCAATGGCGAAACACAAGGATAAGAAGAACATGAAATCAGGGCCAAACGCCGTCGCCATGAAGCACCAGGCCCCAAAACCCAACCCCTTCGCGGCCAAAGCACCTAACCCTAGCAGAGCGGACACCAAGAACAATAAGGAGACGACGACGACGAAGAAGAAGAAGAATAAGTTGGGCCCAAGCTCCATAGCCATGAAGCTCCAAGCTCCAAAACCCAACCCTTTCGAGACCATTTGGTCCCGAAGGAAATTCGACATTCTCGGAAAGAAACGCAAAGGCGAAGAGCGCCGTATTGGCCTCTCTCGCTCTCGCGCCATTGAAAAGGCACTGACTTCTTCACTCCCTTCGTAATTCCATTCAAATTTCAAAATTTTATTTCATTTATTTATTTAATTTTTTGTGTGCGCAGAGGAAGAACACGCTGTTGAAAGAGTATGAGCAGAGTAATAAGTCTTCGGTCTTTGTCGATAAGCGAATTGGAGAGCATAATGATGAGCTCGACGAGTTCGATAAGGCCATTCGGCGTTCCCAGCGCGAGCGTCTGGTAAGTCCATTTTCCAAATGACTTTATGAAACTGAATATTTCTTTGTTCAAAAGCTTACCTCATAGACGTGTACATTCTAGCATATGATATCTAATTTCATTTACTTTCCTCCAGCTTTCTACGCAATTGTAACTCGACTTCAAAACTGTATTCAGTTTAAGTCATTGGTATTTTATGATTAATCTCTTCAATTTCTCATTACGCTCTTTATTCGTTTCTCTCTTCCTTTTTCTTGAATAGTCAAAGCAGAACAAGAAAAGCAAGTATAACTTATCAGATGGAGAAGAAGAGGACTATGAATTCCAAAGTCTTGGTGCATTATCTGAAAGGGATGATTTTGAGGATGATATGCTTCCTGATGACGATGAAGATGGAGCCGGAACTGCTAAAACTAAGAGTATGTATGGAGATACTGCGATATGTGTTGTTTGTTTATTCAGCCGGGTTTAGTTTTCATTTGTGCAGGTTAGATTCATAATGCATCATTCAGGGTCCAGAGACCAATTCAAATTTGGTTATTGAAATGTCGATGATTTTTAACTGTAATAATTGGATAGAAGTACACGTGGGTGATGGTTGAGCTGTACAATTCTGGCTTCTGGTTAATATCTTTTTTCTGGAATAGGCTTTATTGTTATTGTACAAGTATTGGAAGGGTCTCTTGCTCATATCCAGTAAAGGAAAATAATAATACATAAATTGATAACTGATTTTTTTTTTTTCGTGCAAAAATTGATAACTGATTTTTGATGTAAACCAAAATGTTTCGAGTGCTTTTACATTTTTGTTTGGGCAACATGTGTACAGTGCTCTTCAACTGTACATCTCCGTAAATGTTATTGCTTGGGAGTAGGCCATAGTAATACTACTCTTAGTGAAGGTTGCCATTTCCGTTCTGTAGTTGCTTTTCATGTTTGGTTCTGTTGGACCATTGAAACTGCTTAGAATTTGGTTATTTATTCTTTAGGACTATGCTAATGGTGTTAATGGTGCCTGCCTTGTTTTCTGCAGAAAGGTTAGCCACACTAGATCAATTTGAGTCCCATGATAAGCAGAATCTACAGGACGATGGTCCAATGAGAGGAGAGGAAAATGTGAGGTCTTTTTTACTATCTGAGTTTCTGTGCATTATATTCAAGTTCAAGATTGTATAATTGTCTTTGCTAGATTTCAGGATTTTAAATGACATTTCCTGACTGCTTCATTTACCATATTTTTTCTCTTTCAAACTCCCCCCAACCTCTTTATATGTGATTTCCTTTGTCCAAATTTTCTTATAGGAATTAATTCTTTCTTCTATATGATGTCGCCAATAGCCTGTCAATCTTTTTCAATCTGCAATTTGGGAACGGGATTCAAGTGATCCTAATTTGTTTTATTGTTTTCATTATACAGAGACATAAAAGCAAGAAGGAAGTAATGAAGGAGCTTATGGCAAAAAGCAAGTATCACAGGGTGAGATTTTAATTCTTTATGGCATTCAAATTGATTTATGATAATGGCTACATTTTTTTCTCCTTTTTTTTCTCTCCTTTAGTTATGATTTCCATTCTTCATTATCTTTTGGTCTATTCCCAGGCAGAAAGAGCAAAACATAAGGAAGAACTAGAAGATTTTGGGCAAGAATTGGACAAAATCTTTACATCCATGGCGCAGTCTAAGCTTTTAGAATTGGCTGAACCAGACAAGAGTGTTCCAAATGAGAAGAAGGATGAGCTTTCTGGACAGGTATGACATTTTTGATGTAGGTCCTTTCTTGGTCCTGACACTTCCCCCTCAGCAATAGTGATGCTATCGGTTTCTACTTCTTAAAAGTTATGAAGTGTTTTTTTAATTGTTCTTTAATTTATTAAGTCTTTAATTCCTTGATATTTTCAATTAGCATGTTATGTTCTCTGATTTGCGTAGTATTGCTTCCAATTTTGCAGTGTTTTTATTTATTAATTTTTATGTTATCCTTTTGTTTTCTTGTGTGTTTTCTTTATGGATGTATTATATGAAGCTGTAGCTCTTTATGTTCTGCTTACATAAATTTGAGTATTCGCAACTTAATCTAGTTTGCTGTATTTGGCAGGAAGTAGCTCGCTCTTACTTCAAAGCTTTGGGAACATTAGCATTGGAACGCCGTGGTCAGCCCTCAGATAGGACAAAGACACCTGAAGAGATAGCACAAGAGGAGAGAGAGCAGCTTGAGCATTTGGAGGTATCTCATATAGTTATGACTTATGAGTGTGCTTGCATTCACTCATGTTCATGCCTGCTTTATGTTGGGGGTTCATTCTATTGGTGTCAATATCATCTGAAAATTAAGAAGTAATGTAACTCTTTTAATATAGCTACATGGTACAAAAAGTAGGTTGACTCATCCAACAGTAAGTTTCTTCCCTCATGTACCATGTAATAGTTGAAAATTTTCAAGTTATTTGTAATTTAGCAGTCCATATTAGTATATAGTAGTAGGATGTTGGTCAGTACAATATGCATGCTTATGCCCACTAAGATGTGTCATTCATGTTTTATTCAGTTATATGGTAACTGGTGTCATCTTTAATGTAATTTGATTAATTTATCATGTACACCTCGATTCTGGTGGCACAGTGGCATGATATTTTTAGGATCTAGCAATGCTTTAGAGTTGACGTTTTAGGCTTTCCATTTCCTGTTGTGTCTCAATTGTACTTTTTATTATGAAGTTGAATGCTCACTAGAATTTGCGTCACAATTCAGGAGGAAAGACAGAAGAGGATGCTTGCCACCGATGACTATAGTGATGATCAAAATGAAGATGATGAGATTCCGTCTAGCCAGAGGCCAAGAGCTATATCTGGGGATGATCTTGGTGATTCCTTCTCGCTTGATGAAGAGCCTAGAATTAAAAAGGGTTGGGTTGATGAGATTCTTGAAAAAAAAGATGCTAGTGATTCTGAGAGTGAAGAAGGCGGTTCTTCTGAGGATTCAGAAAGTCCTGAGGATGGCAGTGATGAAGGATCTGATGAAGATGATAATGAAGGTGAAAAGAATCTATTGATGAAGGACTGGGAACAGAGCGATGATGATAATATTGGAACAGATTTGGATGAGGAGGAAGAAGAAGAAGAAGATGATGATGATGATGAGTCTGAAGGACATGAAAATGATGATGATGTTAATGAAAAAGAGATGGAGCCAAGAGAGCTTAAAAGGTTGAAAAAAAATGATGCTGCTGATGCTAGTAAAAAACAGGGCAAGGTATCTCAGGATGGTAAACGACCTTCTACTCAATCAGACCTCCCATACCTAATCGAAGCTCCAAAAAGCTTGGAAGAGTTAAGTGCATTGGCGGATAATCTTTCTAATTCCGACATTGTCGTGATAATCAATCGAATCCGGAAAAGCAATGCAATCAAGCTTGCAGCAGAAAATCGGAAGAAAATGCAAGTATGAAACTTTTGGCTGCTTTTACATTTTGTAAATGAGTATTGCCTGCATTATGTTAAATGTGCATCAATTCAGGTTCCTGCATTTCCAATTCGTGATTCAATAGTTTGACTTGGATTTAACTTTCGTAAGCAAAAATTCAAGTGAATGAAGATATACATATTCTGTTTTCATTGTATACGCCAAGTACTCATTGCTGTTTCTGTCATTTTCCAGGTATTTTATGGTGTTCTTCTGCAGTATTTTGCCATCTTAGCAAATCAAAAGCCGTTGAATATAGAGTTATTAAATTTTCTGGTTAAGCCATTGATTGAGATGAGCATGGAGACTCCGTACTTTGCTGCAATTTGTGCTCGTCAGAGAATTTTACGGGCTCGAACTGAATTTTGTGCGACTGTTAAAAACCCAGGTAATTCATAATGGAGTCAATAGTTTTGTTTCTCTGGAATCACAGCTAAGAGCTTGCTCTTGCTAAGGTGCTAATTCATTGTCCAATTGTTTTGTTTCTACAGAAAACAGTTGTTGGCCTTCTTCAAAGACATTATTTCTTCTGAGGCTTTGGTCCCTGATATTTTCATGCTCTGATTTTCGTCATGTGGTCATGACTCCAGCAACAGTGTTAATGTGTGAATATCTGGTGCGATCTCCTATTGTGTCTGGACGTGATGCTGCAGTTGGTTCTTTCTTATGCTCTATGCTTCTCTGTGTATGTATATTTATGATTTCCTTTTTCTTTGTTAGACGCATTTTTTCAATAGATTTTCATAACAGAGATTTACATAGAATTGTATTTCAGTCCAACAGTTTCAGTTCCACCTTTTTTTCATTTGATTATTTTATTATGTAGATCACCAAACAATCTAGGAAGTTCTGCCCTGAAGCAGTCATGTTTCTCCGAACATTGCTGATGGCAGCTAAAGACAGAAAGCCGGCGACAAATCAAGATTCTCAGGTATGACTGTTCCTTGTAATGTAATTCTTGACCATAGAAAGAACCGTATGTTTTTATTGTCATGAGAAGGCAATTAGTTTACAGTTGCATGATGAAGTAACCATGCTCTTTTTATTTTTCTGGCAGTTTTATGAGCTTATGGAATTAAAAGCACTTAGGCCCCTTTTATGTATACGTGAATGCGTAGATCAGATTGATCCTCTGAATTTTCTTACGTTAATGGACCTGCCAGAGGACGACTCATTTTTTAGCTCTAATAATTTCAGGTTAGTTGTTTGTTACAGTACTTTTTGATACATTGTGGAAGTGTCCATGGGATGCATTATATTTTAGACCTGAGATTGTATATCAATTGCTGTATATCATCATAACTGTAAAGTTTGCATATGCTCTTTTAGCCAACTATTTGGTCTTGGAACTAGGTGGGGTAAACTTGATTTCATATTGCCAACAATTTATATATACAGAAAGTACTGCTTTTTCTCATATGTCCTCAGAGTCTATTTTTCAAGTTAGTTACAATTTTTTTAAAGTTGAACTTTGAATTTTCAGGGCTAGTGTGCTGTTGACTGTAATTGAAACTCTACGTGGATTTGTCAGTATCTACGAAGCATTCAGTTCTTTTCCTGAATTTTTTTTGCCCATTTCAATATTGTTGGTTGAAGTGGCGGAACAGGATAATATGCCACAAGTATTAACAGACAAATTTCAAGATGTTGCTCAACTTATTAAGACAAAAGCAGATGAACATCACATTCTGCGGCAACCACTTCAGATGCGGAAGCAAAAGCCAGTGGCTATCAAAATGCTTAATCCGAAATTTGAGGAGAAGTAATATATCTTAACCCCCCCGACCCCAATTGCCTTAATATTATTTTTGTTGGGCAGTGATACTTTGAATTGCGTAAACACTGAATGATATGTTGTTCTGCAGCTTTGTTAAGGGCATAGACTATGATCCAGATCGTGAACGAGCTGAGAGAAGAAAGTTGAAGAAAGTTCTAAAACAAGAAGCTAAAGGGGCTATCCGTGAACTGCGTAAAGATAATTCTTTCTTATATGAGGTGAAGGCGAGGGAGAAGGTGCTGATGGAAGAAGAAAAAGCTGAGAAATATGGAAAAGTAAGACTTTTCCTTCAAGAGCAAGAACATGCTATGAAATCTGGGCAATTGGGAAAAGGCAGGAAGAGAAGGAGATGAGCTTGAGACTCTCCTTGAAGGTTAAGTTTATAATAAATAAAGGCAATAATAGCAGCATTCTGATTCCGTTCTTTTTTTTCTTACTTCCAATTTGTAGTTTTGTATAGTGCTTGGGAAACTCTCTCACACTCCCTCATGCAGGTATGTTCCCGTAGATCAGAAGCTGATCTTGTATTGTGGATGTTATAGAAGACAAAAGAGGTGGTAGAAAATGTGCTGCGCTGCCTTACACATATTCCAGATGAAGCCAATTATTTGGCGCAAATTTTGTGCAACATTAATTTATTTATAGATGTGTTCATCCTGAAATATTGCATTAAATTTTTGTTGTAACGAATCGGTTGCTGGATGATTGAAAATTTATTTAAAATCTTCTTGTGTTTATAAACATTTTGATTCTCAGAAATCTAAAGCAGTAACAGAATACGACGTGATTTATCCATGGCGGTGATTTGTACTCAGCTTTCAGAGTTTGTAATTGTAACTACGTTCAGAGAGGTAAAAAGTAGAAACAATTAAAACAAGGAGGCAGAAAGGATTAACATATTAAATAGATAGGGAAATGCATAATATTAGAAATAGATAGATTTTTAAACTGCTACAACAGTTGATTATTCATATGTAGGTAGCCTCAATCAGCTTCAAGTGCAATATCCTCTCCCACTAGCTGGCTCCCATCTACTTGCGCAGGTCTCTGAAATAAGCAGAAGGGTTTCGCTCAAAAACATCCCTGAAGATTCTGCTGTCTCTGCCGGGAGCTTTCGTCGTCCTCCTCTGCCCTGAACCTGAAAAAAGTCCAGACAAACCAAAACCCAGCAGAGCCAGTCCTGCCACAGCAAGAGCTGCAATCACAAGGTTGGACACGTCAACCTCATGATTACACAAGTCAACAGCATTCTCATCTCTCCCCTTGTTCCTAGAGCTAGAGCTTCCCCTGGTTTGGTTCGCTCCCATTTTTGCAACTCAAAGTCGTAGCTGGTTTTGAAACTTCTGGTTTGAGCGGCTATGGCTAGTGGCTAATGGCTAATGGCTATGTTTATATAGAGAGGGAGCGTTCATTGATTTGTTCATGGGAATTTAAAGAGTCCCGTGAGAATTAATACAAGCATTGGAAGTGCCAGAATATTGATTGCTTTGTTCATTAAACTCGACCTTTCCAATTTCCAATTACCGCGAGGCGACAAGAGTGGTGCATTGGATTACGGGCGTGGAAATTGAACGGCATGCATGGTTTGTCGTTTGTTCATCAACGACATAAGAGAATGCTAGCAACATTCTCCTTACTCATCGCTTTTAGATTTTTTTTCCTTCTCTTAATGACATGTCATTTCTTTGGAGTGCTGCTAAACGAACTCTAAAATTAATTGAGCACACCTTATAATTTAAGTACACCCTAATATTTTAATGGCTTAATTGCATAAATGCCCCCTGAAACTTTGGTCAAATCTCATTTTGCCCCCTCAAACTTAAAATGACTAACTTTCATCCATTGACCTAAGTTTGATGACTCACTTTACTCCTTGTCATCAACTCCATCTAAAACTTTGTTAACTTTAATGACGTGGCATGAGTGTTTTTGTAATTCTATACTGCCGTCGAGGTCGGCGGCGATCGACCCGTACAACACCGTTTCGCTCACGTTGCTGGACTTGATCGACGGGAGGGTCTTGATTCAGTTCATTCTCTTTGAGGATTTTTGTGCGTTTCTTAATTTCAAAAGACAAAAACCAAAATACAGTGTTGGAGTTTGGGGTAGAGTAGAGATGGGTTTGGGTCTTTCAGTTCTCCAATTAATGAAATCCATTTTTGTAACCATTTCAATTTTTACTGCAACTTACATGAAGAATATAGAAATGCATTAAACAATAAATAAACAAACAGTGCCTAATTGATTGATTAACAAGTTGCTTGCCTTGCATTGTTGAATTTGGTGAATACCAAGTTGGATCTCAGATTGCATTGGTGAATACCAAGGTGGCGACGGCTCTGCTGGTCTTAGGATATGGCTATGGAATTAGGAGAAAGTTAGTGAGATGGTGTGTTTTGAGGGGTTAGCTTTATTCCGATACAGAAACAGAGGGGGAGAGAGAAGGATGGAGAGAGTTGGAGAGAAGGAGAGGTCGGGATGGGGATGCGACGGCTGGGGATGAGCTCAGGGAAGGCTGCAATAGGGGTTGGGGTGTACGCTGCTCTGGATTTGTTTGTTTTTTAATTTTATTTTGTTTATATGTAGTTTTTTATGTTTTTGGTTTTATTTTTAATTATTATAATATTTAATTATGTTTTTATCCATGTGGAAATCAGCTCCACTTGCCACGTCTCCCATTTAATTGGTAAGTAATGATCTATATAAACGAAATTACAAAAATACCTTTGCCACGTTATCAAAATTAACAGAGTTTTGGATGGAGTTGACGGCAGGGGGCAAAATGCATCACCAAACCTCAGTTAAGGGATGAAAGTGAGTCATTTTAAGTTTTATGGGGTAAAGCGGGATTTGACAAAAGTTTCAGGTGGCATTAGTGTAATTAAGCCTATTTTAATTAAAATGTAAAATTAACTAAATACACCATATTGAACTACCAAAAATACCCATAGTACACCCTAATACTTGTAGCATTATTTTATAGTTGATTTTCAGCTTGATTTTTTTAATAGTGTTTATAAATCTTTGACTTTTCATATGGATTTATGCTTCTACTAAAACTGTTGACATTTTTTTTGCAATTCCAAGTTCTTGCACTTACCACCGCTTTCGTTAATAGTAATTTTTTATGCATGTTTCAGTTATATACTACTATGCTACTGTGAAATTTATTTGTTCTCAACTTTCCCAACCTCTCTAGATGGACTATTCATAGTTATTATCTTTGCTGATGATCCTATTAATGTTGCTTTTATTTTGATATATGCTACATAAAATTGGAATAATATCTCTGCAATGTACTAATAAGATGCCAATTCATTTGTGTCCTTCCAAAACTGTTTTCTAATGGCTTGTTCGAAGCCCCACATTGAGGTGGACGTGTGCACGAATAACAAGACTTTTTCCCCCAAAGCTAGTGCTATAAGGTGTACTTTTGGTATCCATTGTGAACATAGAAAGAGAGAGACAAAAGGATCGATTTTGAGAAATATTAATCTTTTTATTGTTTACTACTAATGAGTTAAGATTCTCCTACCTCGAAGCGGTGGCTTTGTTTTGCTGGCCAAAGTCTACGGCCAGAAATCAACTTCAGCCTCTTTCTTTCACTGTCCCTGGCTGCACTCGCGGATCACAAAGATAGGAACCAAGTAATCTCTTGATTAGGGTTGGATATGGTTAGTAGAGTGTACTTATTACAATTATATTTGTTTCACAATTCCATATATCATTTTTGGTCATTTTATATTAGGGTAAATCAGTATTTCAATATATACTTTTGTAGTAGGGTGTACTCAGTTAATTTTAGGGTTCGTTTAGCAGCACTCTTTCTTTTCACTTAAAATAATGTCATTAATTACATTAAAAAATATTAATTATATTTTCATATATGCCCTGATAAAAACTAAAGCATTTATACAAGTTTTTGGCTCTCTTTGGAGTATACATTTCTCCCCTCATTTTCACTCTTAATTCTCAAGTAAAATTAAAAACAAATAAAAACAAAAATAAAATGAAAATCAAACTAGCCAGCAACAATTTCCAACTCTCACAGCCACGCATCTTACTCAACTTGACGGCAACCCTACCTCCTCACCGCCAGTGAGGTCGAAAACCCATGGTCCAAACTAATCTAATTCCACCAACTCAACATAATTTTTTTAAAATAAGAAAACTTGCATATTGAAGACCTCATCAAGATGATAAATGGAAAATTAAAGTATGATAATTTTTATTGGGATATTTGGGGTTTTGATTTGGAATGAATTGAAGGTGTCATGTCAGATTAGATATGGGTTTGCTGCTTATGGATTGAAGGCCCGCCTTCTCTCATCTCATGGTTCACCATGCCGCCAACTCGCAAGGGGAGTTGATATTACATGTTGAGAGAGAGAGAGAGAGAGAGAGAGAGAGAGAGAGAGTTGACATTTGGCTGGTGGTGAGGAAAGGGAGGTTGCCATCGGGTTTGGGTGGATGGGAGGGGTTGGGTCTGCTTGCTGGATTGTTTGTTTTTCATTTTATTTTTTGTTTATGTTTATGTTTTTAATTTCGACTTGACAATGTCAAGTGTCAATACTAGGGGTGTAAATTGGATTGGAAAATTCGATTCTGACCAATTCCGGTCCAAAAATTTCCAAAAAAGTATGATTCCGATACATTCAATATCCGAAAGTGCCAAAATCGGAAATTTCCAATAAAATTTGGATTGAAATTAGAATCTATTTGTAAAAATTCTGAAATTCCGAACCTAATATTTCTAAAGTTCTCCGAACCCATTCCGATCCAATTTTTTCTATTTTTTCCGTAAAATTCCAAAATTATAATAATATTGTATGATTTACAATTTTAATTGCATTATTTTTAGTTTATAAGTTCTCTATATGTTTCATTTCTTATTTGTTATATTTAAGTACCCACATACAAATATTCATATATATATATATATATGTGTGTGTATACACTAAACATGGGAGTATATATTACTTTAAGATAATGTATGCGTCTACATAAAACACACATACATGTATACATAAGAAGTATACACTATATAAACTAAAGGTTTATTATAAATACATATATGTGCGTATGTATAGGAGTATATATTACTTAAGATGATGTATTTTTTGCTAATATAAGTTGTTTTGAATATAACAAAAGTGCATATGTATGGTTATTATATCCAAACACTATATAACCAAAATGCTTATGTGTGTTTATTACTTATGAATCATGATATGAGTATATAACTTTAAGACTATATATTTTTGACGAATATGCTTGTTCGAATATACCAAAAATAAATATAGGAAGTATAATTTGTATTCTATGTATGTGTGTATTTTTTGAACTTTTAAACTATATTCATTTAAACATTCAATTATATAAAATCAATTTTATACATCAAACACCACATATAAAATAAGTATATTCAATGGGGCTTGACAATTGCAGTTTTTCAATTGTCTAGAGCAAGACTAACACTTTTTTAAGAATGAACAAATATACATATCAAAAACTATTTTCCATTAATTTTTTATTAACAAATACCACGTGAAATACTTTCATTTTGTTTTTGGATGAATGCATGTATCTTTTTTTGTTACAATATATGTGTATACATAAAACATTTCCCAAGTTATATTTATATAAACCAAGATTAAACATACATTTAATTATATGAGAAGTAAAAAATAAAAATAGTATCTCTCTCTCTCTCTTTTTCCTTCTTCTTTTTCCTCTCACTG